TTTAAGAACTAGATATGGTTTTTGTGGCCCAAGGATGTACAGTGAAAGCGCAAGAGCTTGCGACGTTAGCCATACAAGAGAGCCGTGTAAGCATATATAGTTTATAAAGGTTTTATCATATATCAATACAGTCCATTAAAAAAAAAGGAATTGTTTCGAGCTACTTGTGTTTTATTAATTTCTACCATTTATTCAAAGTTTCAGAGTGTGGATTGATATTTCTGTGCAAGGACGTCACAACACGTGCAAGGACGTCACAACACGTGCAAGGACGTCACAACACGTGCAAGGATGTCACAACACGTGCAAGGACGTCACAACACGTGCAAGGATGTCACAACACGTGCAAGGACGTCACAACACGTGCAAGGATGTCACAACACGTGCAAGGACGTCACAACACGTGCAAGGACGTCACAACACGTGCAAGGACGTCACAACACGTGCAAGGACGTCACAACACGTGCAAGGACGTCACAACACGTGCAAGGACGTCACAACACGTGCAAGGACGTCACAACACGTGCAAGGACGTCACAACACTTATAAGACGCACAAGTGTTCTTTATAAAGACATTCGGTCGAACTCACAACTCTTTTGAACTACAACCCCCGCTAACATCCAGACTAAAACACATAGTCGCATTTCAGCCCTAAATACATTTTCATGGTCAACAACGAATTGTAGTCCATCTGATCGACGACTTGTAAGGCAAGCCCGCAACATAACAGCAACATTTTTTACTAAGATCAATATAAAATTACTACAAATGTTGTCTCCAGTGATGTACATGTATTTGCTTGAAACCAGCTCGGAGTGCGTTTTGTCATTTCCACATATCTGTGTAAAGGTAGGTCAGAGACACAAGAAGATAGACACCGCCCAAAACTGATTGTGAAAAACTCACACTGTGAGCAATATTAATCTGGTCAGTTTTGACTCAAATTTATCCTTGAAATCTAATACATTGTGAACAAATCAGCACCAAATATTTTTCTGCAAACAATTTGACAGGGGTTAAGCAGATAACAAGAGCATACACAACGTAAACCACATTCTTCCTAACAATCCAGAATAAAACACGAGAGAATGAATTTTCACACTGCTACAAAGCCTCCAACCAGACTGGTTTAATTTATTTGCCGTGATTTCATTTACTGGAAAGCCTTAAAGGTATTTCATATTCTGTAACTTAATTCTTATCAATCTTTTTACGGTGGTTATTCTGGCGACAGCAAAATTAGGCACAATTCAATTTAGGCTCATTCAAGGTTATTTAATTCCGTAAGTAATATTCTTGATTACTTTTAAAATGATGATAAAGAAATCTTGAATCTGTAGAGGCTCCATCTGCCATGTTGTGTAATCTGTTTTCCATTCTCTGGACTCTCTTTCTTCTGCCATATACATGTAGTTCCACGGACACTCGTTTCCCTGGCAACAAGTGACAGTAATGTTGGTATAAATATTTAAAGAAGAATCCAAATCAACTGGCTGACAATCAGCAGAGCTCTTTCTGTTGGCCATTGGCTGACAACCAAGTCAGATATTTAGTAGAGCTCCTACCATTGGCTGACAACCAAGTCCCATATTTTCTAGGGCTCCTACCATTGGCTGACAGCCAAGCCAGATATTTAGTAGGGCTCCTATCATTGGCTGACAACCAAGTCAGATATTTAGTAGGACTCCTACATTGGCTGACAACCAAGTCTGACATATTAAGTATACAAAACATGCTATTAATCCATTTTCCTTGAAATGAGTATGGTAACGTCATATTTTTATATCATTTTTCCCATCCTTGTAACATGAAGTATCATATATATAAAAACAAAATGACCATATTTTTGCTTCTATGTCGGATTCTACCTTAATATGTAATTCAACGTCTACATAAGCTTCATTTTTAGGAGGGAAAATAATTTTTCAATTTTCATTATTAAGACAAAGAGATGAACAGCTGACAGGGACATACAGTGATAGTGATAACACATGTAATTAGGTCAGTCCGTATAAGCCATCAATGATAATGAACCATCAAGTCGAGATAGAATAATTCATATACATGTAGCAAATATGCCAAATTAAAGAAATGTAAATGGGTGGGGTGATTTATAATGAACAAAATGGAAAGTGTATAATTTTGTGAACAGCACTTAAAAAAATCAGTTTTATGAGTAATTTTTGCTTGGCTATATTAGGACCCCGTGCAATACTACTATATTTTTGGAGATTATATTGGACATATAGCAATGTACACAACGCATGTGAAATAGATTGTCTACATGAAATTCAAACACACACTACGCGATGACCACAGCCCTATAAAAGTGACTGATAATTCAAAATTTGATATGTACCCGCATATAATTGACTGTTTTTTCCAACAAGCAACCAAAGAATCATACCCACACATTAGTCACTGATTTTCCTATCTGTACAACAAGTTTCAGTATTTTCATTAGTTGAAAATAAAAGAAAAATTCAACACTTGTTTTGTCAAAAATTATTTAATAACACATCAAAGACTGATTAGCCGACCTGTCATCAGAACAAACACAACCATGTATCAGTGGCAGATCTGCCCATATACTGTCAAAACACACGTACCCATGTAAAGATGACTGATCTGCCAACCTGTCTTAGAAGAAAATGCAACAATGTGCTAGGGACTGATCAGTCCATCTACTGTCAAAACAGACATACATGTACCTACCTATCGATGTCCAATTTGCCCACCTGCTGTCTGATTTACTTACCTGACCTTAAAAGAAAATACAACCATGTGCTAGGGACTGATCGGCCGGCCATCTGCTGTGAGAACATACACATCCATGTATCCACCTAGTGTATGATTTGCCTACCTGTCTTTAGAAGAAAACCCAACCATGTGTCAGTGACTGATCTGTGCACCTGCTTTCTGATTTATCTACCTGTGCTTAAATGAAAGCACAACCATGACTAG